ATAATAATAATAATAATAATAATAATAATAATAATAATAATAATAATAATATCAATAATAATAATAATAATTCTATAATAATAATAAAAATAATTTAATAATAATAATAATTCATGTAAGATTAAAAAAATATCTAAGGCCTTATGGACTAGTAGGGAATGGAATTTTAATTTAACTTAATTTTATATTATTTAAAACTCAATTTTATATTATATAGATAATTTATTTAATTGGACAATACATTTTGTTATTTATATATAATAATAATGTTAATTTTTAAGGCCAAGTAGCCTAAGCCTTAAAATTAAAATTTACTTTGGAGTTTCAAGCTTAATAAATTCTACATTATTTAAAGATTTAATTTACATTAAATGTCCTCATAAGCCTATGCCATTTATTTATTTGGAATTAATGTTAAGGTTAAGAAACACAATCACAATGTCTTTCTTATGCAGGGCATCTATGAGTCGTGCCCTGCCATTTCTCACTTGTTCTTTTTTTTTTGTTGAGCGTTATTTTTTCCTTTTATATTTTCTTTCTTTTGGCCAAACACATTGCATCTGAATGTGCGCTTTAATAAACCAACAGACAGCGACCACAAAGCTCAACAACTACGAATGTAAGCTTACTACACACACATACACACACATGCATATGTATACATACACACACACATCAACATTGTAGAATGGGAAGCATGCAATGACGACGATCGAGCCAGAGCGTTGCTTGTGAAATGAGGCGCGCCAGCTAAATGCTGAGAAATGGTGAAAAGTTGCAGCATTAAGTGGTGAAAACTACCACCACGAACAACAACAACAACAACAACGACAACAACTAATACTACTACAACTTATACAACAACAACATGAGCGACAACCGCTGAAAAATGAGGCGACGGCCATGGCGCGCGGTGTCGTGTGAAAAATCCAACTGGGAAATCGTGCAAATGTGTCAAAATTGAAGAAAATGACAAGCTTGTGCTTGTCCGCACATCTGACCGCCAGAGGGCGTTTATGTGTGCAGTGGGCGTATGTAAATGGGATGCACTGTGCTTAAAAGGCTGAACCAATGTCAAAAAAGAAACAAAACAAAAATAGATAAACGCCAAGTCGCAACGCTTAAATTTGCCATAAAAATATGCAAATCATAAATACGGAACAATTTATCACAGTTTCGATCGATTTACAACCACCAAATGCGACTTGGAAATGCGCTATGAAGCAAGCGTATTACAACTATTTCAGAATTCAAGTTTCTGATAAGAGAATTTGCATGCATACATCATCATTTCGTTACATCAGTCGCAACTCTTACGTCACCTTACCCAGGGCTACTCCTGAAGCTTAATCAATTAATTAAATAATAATGAAAAGAAAATGACAACTCATCCAGCGTGAATTGCGGCATAAAGACGAGATTAAAGAGCTCTTTGGCAGCCAAGAAAGTAAACCCCTTTATGCTTGATTACTTACTTGTTTGCCATCAAGAATATATCATTTAACTCAAATACAATCGTAAGCATATGAATATATGCATGCGTGTGTGTGAAGCGTAAGATTCTTGAACCTTATGTGAATGATTAATAGGTTTCTCGACCTTTTCATTATCCAGCTCTGATAGCAATAGATTACCATTGATGTTTCTCTTTCTTTCAATGAGCTGCTGTCTACAATTCTGCTAAATTGAGAGAGAGAGGGAGAGGGAGAGAGGGAGAGAGAGAGAGTTTGCTGGGCCGTTAACAGAGTGACGCATGGAAATGAATCAATTTGCTGGCCACATAAAAAAACACACACACTCACACCTGGTTGCAGCACTCAGGTGTGGCGAGAAGGGGGTTCAACCGGTTCGCGCGGCACACCAACACCTCGCATAGCTGTGGGTGTGTGTGTGCGTGTGAAGATAAATTCCCCCCATTTCGTCTGCACTTGAAGAAACGCATGCTAATTGGCTTAGGAATCAGTTTTTGGCTGGCTTTGTCCATATCGCTTGAGCCATGAACCGTAAATGTTATATTGCGTTTGCCTGACTTTTAACACACTTAAAAGAGAAGCCAAAAATGGTATGGGGGCGTGGCTGACAGCAATAAATTCACTTTCTCAGCCAACTGGGGTGAAAAGGCAGGTGAAAAATTAACTAGGCTTGACCTATGTGGCACTAAGGGTTAAATGTTTGACGTGTTTTCTTCAGAACCAGGTCAAGCGGAATGGCATACAAATAGAAATAATATAAACAAATTGAAATGCGGGACAAACAGAAAATAAACAAGATTAAAATTAATTTGTTTAAGGAACGGGCAAGTTAGATAATACTAGGAATATGTAATAAATATTTAATTCAGGATTACCCTTGAACTTTTCTCTTTAAATAGAAATGTGCTCAAAGGAGTTTACATTAAAGTTTACTGCAAACTCATTCTAGTCAGACTTCAGGCAAAGGCCTCTCTCAACATTTACTAAACAAATAATTGATGTATCGATAGGTATCGATTAATTCTAATTATATCTATACAATATAATGACCCGCTTATCAGATATTTTGGCCCATGAATTACACACGTTCAGTTCCAGCTATGAATGTCCTTTATGCTGGCGGGCTCAAGGCTTTGTCCTTG